CATTGGCGTGCACGTAAAAGAATTCTTGACAGAATTCGAAATAAGAGTAGGCCGTACTGCCGCTGTCCGGGCAAACTTTCCCTGATAGCACACTCTATGGCGTATGCCCGTCTTCATTAAACCCCATCTCATTTCATTTCATTTCCTTAAACCAGTTTGCCTTTTGACCATTTTATTTTAGTAGATTAATGAAGTTACTTCCCTTACACTCAGTTGTCTCCCGTAATGTTTTTACACACAGATAAGGTCAAGATAAGTTTTTAAAAAGGGAAATATTTTCGACAAATTATATTAATCAATTTTAAGTCTATATAACTCATGGCCACCAGACTTTTCGAATCAGATTATCACGCGGAACTTTATTTCAAGTTTCGACCGAAATATGGTAAATCCGTATATGGTGTCATCATAGATTTTTGTAAATCAGGAAAATGTGAGTTTGATTTGGCAGTTGATGTAGGATGTGGCTCGGGTCAAAGTACAACTCCACTGTGTTCTGCATTCAAAAATGTCATTGGGTCGGATGTTAGTCCAAATCAGATTGAAAATGCACCCAAAAATGTCAAAAATGTAACATTCCTCGTCAGCCCAGCAGAAGATTTAAGTTACCTATCAAACAATTCAACGGACTTAATTACCATTTCTCAAGCTATACATTGGGTCGATACCAATAAATTTTATAAAGAAGTAACAAGAGTTCTTAAACCAGGGGGTAGTTTGGTTGTATATGGTTATGGTTTTGATCTATTGGATAAAGAAGATGCCCAGATGAAGTTAGATAGAGTATAACTTGGATTAAATTATTTTTCTGTTTTTAGGTTATAAAAATAAATCGAGTGGATACAGCGTACATGTTTTGAAGTATATGACCTAGATACCACCAATGTCTACGTTATAAGATTACCATATTGTTAAATCGTACATACATCATTTAATGAAATAACTTAAAAAATTGAAATGATAAAGTCATGTACATGAAGTATTACTGTGTTTCGACCTCCCTTTTAAAATTGCCCGACTTCATTAGCCCAGTCGGGGCAGAAATGTAGAATATTAAACCCCATTTCATTTTATTTCCCTGGACTGATATTTCTAATATATAATATATACTGTCTTAATTTGTCAAATCAATTTATTTGTATCCTTTTCCTTTGTTGCTTTTAGTTTTATTTCGAAACAATTGCGGAGTTTTGGAGTAATAAAATACAATTGTTACTACGTAAATACGAAGACATCACTCTACCTTTTGATGGATGGATAAGGTAAAGAAATCAAAAGTTGACCTTTTCTTCGGTCAAATGATAAGGTGGGTCGGGTGTGGTTTAAAAGGATGCATTTAGGGATAGGGGCTGACTGGAATTTTGTAGCATGTTTGTGCCAAATAAATCTATCTATCTACAATACTGGCATACAAATTGCATTTGTGTGAGTTTGACGGGCAGTGACCGGAATATGACCAGGTTTCGCTGTTGACACAAGGGCCCCACTGGCATTTTTAGCCAGGGCCCCAATGCAATTTTATTCCGCCCTGCATTTACCCCCGGGCATGTCAGAGGTGTGTGTGGGTGGATGGAAGGTGGGGGGGGGTGCATCTAATAGTCATTAAACTTGACAAGTTTACTCTCTGAGGGTCAAATTGCTAGAAGAAATAGTAGCTAGGTACTTATTACTTTATACGATATGCCTAACAGATAGTTTAATATCGACAGAAAAGATGATCTAGAAATAGCTGCTGATTGGAGTGTGGGTGAGTTCATTGGTTTTGTAGCTTCATCCTCTGCTTGGCAGTCTTACCTTAAAGCTCACCCTTCGTCAGAGGAACTCAAACAATTATCAAATAGGTAATTATTTTACCTACTTGTTTTTTTATATTCAATATAATATTCGACTTTACTAGTCATTACTCGGGCAGATACTATTATTGTTCAGTTCCGGATTGTCATTGAAGTTGGCAACTTCTCACACATATGAAAGCCCACTAGAATCCATGATTTTAGCCAAAAACACGAAGTTTACTTCGAGAATTTTGAGAAGTATTTATTCTGCTTCAATTTAATAAAATCGAGAATATTTATTCAATCTGTGTGTGTATGAATAATGTAATACGGACCAGAACCGCATTACAATAGTATCTGTCTTCATTAGCCCAGTCGGTGCAGAAAAGTAGGAAGTCAAACCCCAATTCTTTTTATTTCACAAAATGGCCGCCATTAATTTAGGTCAGGGCTCACTTCTCAAACTAGTTAGTTCTCTGTGTGCGGAATGCTTCTAACACTGCCACGCATACCATCTAGCATTCACCAAAAGATGCCTTTGCATGGGAAGAAATCGTTTTCAATGAAACGTGCGAATTTTATTAGGATTTTAGTAAGATCAAGGAGACATCCTATTATCTAAAACTGATTAGGAATTAATATGCATATGCATTAAACAAATTTAGCGAGATGCAGCCGTTGTCATGTAATCGTAATTATAAAATAAGATTCATTGCGGTAAGAGTTTAACATAATTCCAAATTGTGTGATAAATTAATTGTGTGTAGTTTGATAATCCCTCATTTTTGATAGTAGGCCGCATCAATTTGATTTTCTGTTTTTAGGGGTCTTGATGAATAAATAGCAAAAGTTGTTTTGTTTAAAATTTCATAACTTAAAATTTTGGAACTGAAAGCTTTCGAACAGTTCAACTAAGTACTTTTGTTTTTTAAAGCGGTATTAGGTAAGAATTAGATAAAGAGTTATAATAGTTCTGGCTATAATAGTTTAAAAAAAAGATAATGAAAAGAGAATATTTTGAAAAATTTCAGTCAAATTACTTCACTCTGTGCCAAGGTATTGGCGATTTAATTATAGACTAGCCTCGAATGTCATTGATACCGTTGTTACGATAACAAAGTCTCGATTATCCATTTTTACGGTAACCGCATCCAAGACAAAACGTATTTGAATCTACTAAATATCGCAGGCATCCGATGGCATCGAGAGTTGATTATAGTCTTGGTAAGTTAAATGATGTCTAATTAATAATTTAGCTCATGCATAATGCATGTTTAAATAAAAAAAAATACATAAGGAAATATGGAAAATTGGTAATGCCCTAGCGCTGTTATTTTTTTTTTTTTTTTTCATGCTGTGAACTGTTATTTCAGATTCAGAGAAATATATACCAGAATCAATGAAAGCGGTGTTGAAGAAGAAGAGAAAATGCATATTATATGGCCAGTGTTTATGTTAATGGGACATAAACCCTCACCAATGTAACTATTTTAGTACGTAATTCTAAATAAAAAAGGTGTCTTATCATATTCACCCTATTTGCTATATTGATTTGCATTTCAAAATCCGAAACAAATTATTTGCCATTAATATGCCTTCCATATAGACAGTTTGAATTGTCTTTCTAAATTAATTATATGTGTCGAGGGAGGGACAGTGCGCTATACATTCTTTGAAAACGAAAAGGGGAGTGCCATTGTTATCATTGATGTAGAAAATTGTGAGGGAAACGTCCTTGAAATACTTGACGACAAACGGGTATATACAATCATAGATTCGAACCATGATAAAAGAATTATGGGTTAATAAACGGCTTAATCCAACACCACAAAAACGAACTGACGGACAAGGAGTATATTAAACACCCAAATGCCGCACCAGTGTTTTCCAACCAGACTATCTCCTATCCAGGCTTATAATTGCCGGTCTGTGCTGCTCTAGTAATAGATTATCAAATCTCATTGATACCTTACTTAAGCCGTACGTACCAGATGTAAAATCTGTTATTCGGGATGACAGACTTTGTTAATACATTACTCCAAAATCTAAATGATGGCTACTTTTTGCTATAGCAACATTTCACATGACCTATGCTTTCAGACCGTAGACTATTGACTGGAGAAACATCCCGAATACAGTCATGGGAGAATTTCCAAATGCCTCGATCTTCGATGTAAATGTTGCGACCTTAATATAACTCCAAACAGCATTATAATTTTTATAACTTCACCTTTAAAGTCAACGACAATATGAACTGTGACACACAAACAAAACCCCTCATATATGCCTTAACTTGTAACGGATAGAGTACGCATTGTAACATTGAAAATATGCCCTTATTTTTAAATAGACAGATATTTAAATGTGCACAGCATCTTCAAACAGAATTCCGTTTGATAAAATGAAAGTCATTGACATAACAAAAAGAAAAATAATGGAAAACCATTTTATTTAAAAATATACGTTCCTCGACTATCAATAAGTAACAATGTTCTATTAATTTTATTAATACATCCCGAGGTTATTTCACTCATTGTACCTAAATTATACTCATATACAACAGATCAACGGGCGTGTATACATATTTTCTCTTAGTTACCTATGTACTACGTAAGTACAGACAATTAAAACCACGGTGTTTCCATGTAAATATGTACAAATTATTGTATTGTGTCCATCAATATACCATGAGATTTTGATTTTCGGTAGATGGCCATTTTATTTTTAAATTACTAAGGGTCAGTTATGCTCGCTCTACTCTGGCTAACGTTTGAACCCACCAGGCTTGAACTGTATCTTTGCCACATTTTTCTGTGCACAGTCTTAACCAGACCGTTGCTTAAAGTGGGAGATCCCCATACGAAAAATAATAACTTAAATTTAGCTTAAAGGGCAATCTTTCGTCAAAGTAAAAGCCGTGGAAGCGGCCGTTAGTGTCAAATGCCTAGATTCTAGTCTTGAAATCTTTATTTTGTGTTTTTCATATTAGCATGTATATAACACATCTAATCTAGTAAGAAATAAAATAATGGGGCTTAAAGTCCCACTTTTCTGAGCCGACTGGACTATTTAAGACAGGGACATATCGTACAATGTGCTGCGGGGGGGGGGGGCATTTTGCACCGTATATCGAATTCCAACGTGTAAATGTCATCTACGGAAACATATCTACTTATCCGACTCTTTAAGAGAGATAAAACCATATACTAGTATCTACTACACCAATCTTTATTAAATTATTTATTTTCAAATATAACTATGTTAATGCTACATATTATGATTAATAAACATAATAATATCACAGATCAAATTTGATAAATTGGTATTGATTAATTATTATTTGGCATGGGCGGACGTTGATTATCTAATTAATTTAGTATTTGAAGTGATTAAATAACATTTGACGGGTGACCACTATTTGCAATTTCATCTCGTAACAACTTAGCTATTTTAAGTCTTTTTACCAGCATTTTTTTCGGTGTTTTTATTCAAAATAGGGAGTGGCGAAAAGATAATATTAAATAGGGATTGGGCAAAAGTCTCAGCCTACGTAAAGCCTCACTACTTATTTATAATAATGTTTAATCGTAAGAGTTTAATATACGTGCAGTTTGGAGTTCCGGGGAAGCAATCCCACTGTCGGCTCTTTTACGCGAAACGTTTTGTTTGCTTGCTTGGGACTATGTTAAACTAAGATGGGCAAGAACACTAAATCACGATTTGAGAAAACATTAATATGGTATGAAGTAAATAAATCATTAGTTTGTTTATTGAGGCGGCCATTACTTTGAATGGTATTAAACAGAAATTGCGTCTGCTTTATAGTCACTTATAACCACAGATAAATCACCAGTTCCACCCTCATGCATCATAAGTTTACCTTCTTCAGTTACTTGTGAAGTGGACACCACTAAGGTTTTCATACTATGATTTTCTTCCAAAGCCGAAGATAGAATAGCACACATATTTGTAGAGAGATCACATCCACCAATATCTAACCTCTTTAATGTTGTCACCAAACGCAGTGATTGTCCAAGGGCAAAGATCCCAGGCCTATCAAACTGTATCCCACAAAGTCGAAGTGTCTCGATGGAGCTGCTTAATTTCAATCCATGAGCTAATGCAACGATAGCTGATCCTTCTAGTCCTGTTTCGGTCAGGTTAAGAGATTTGAGAGAGAGAGAATGTTCGAGATAAGAGGCTAGATCAGTTGCACTAATGAGATTTAATGTAGTGTGAGAAAAGTCAAGCACTTGAATGGATTTTGGAAGACAATTAATAACATGGCCAGCGATTGAAGCTATAGTACAACGCCTAAATACAAACTTTGTTGTGTTAGAAAGATTTTCACAAAAAGTTTGCAAATCATCCCAAGTAACTGCTGATATTTCTTCAGAAACGGGTTTTCCATGAAAATCAATGTGCACCAAATCAAGCTGCGGTTTGTTTTGTGTTGCGATAGCTAGAAAACGTGCCACCATATCTAGTCTAGTCCAGGTAGCTTTGATTATTTTTAGTGTGGTACAACTGGATAATGCTGAAGCCAGTTCCAGGTAGGTGCTTTGTTGACCTAAGTAAAACGGATGCATAGCCATATCAAAATTTACTAAATGACAATGCCCGCTTTCAAGAATTCTTGCGAGACCCCGTAAACAGTTAATTGGATACAATCCTCTTTTGTGAAGCGTGAGTGATTTTGGAAAAGATTCAGCCACCAATCGAGTTATATACGAATTGTTGCATTCGGAAAGACTATGGAGACTCTGACTGAAAGTCACTAGGTTACTGCTATAGATTTGTTCTTTAACTTCAGAAGAATCTTCTATCGATACGACTCTACAGTGTCGATTAGATACTCGCATCATTTCCGTAATAATGGTTTCTAATGTTGTTGTTATCGGATCAGTAGCGTAGATTCCATTTAGAAAAGAAACCATATCGCTATACTTGGTGTATTTAAGAAGATTTCGCTGGTCCAATGTATCATGTAAGTCATCTAGTAACATATCAGCAAGGTATCTTGCCGCCATATAACTACAAATTGAAGAACAATGGCCTTTGATAAGACCACTAATTACAGATTTTTGAAAAATGCCCAATTTCATAATGTTTATATTCTGTGTATGACCTACCAATTCGCCTTCTGTTAAATATGCCTTCTTTGATGTCAACATGTTAAAACATAGTTCTTCAGTGAGATGAACAATATCACCTACTTCTTGAGGATACTCGCCCTTTTCCAGAACGACGTGTTGCCTTTTACAAAACTGCACCACCAAACCTTTGACATAGAGTTCAAATAATGTAGTCAAGTTCTCTACTTTTTTAATTTCAAGATTTGCGTATTTGTACGAGATTATGATAGCCATGCAAATAAAGGGGTTACACATTTGCATTCCAAGACGCCACGATTCTAAATCTTCTAACAATGATTCGTAATCATCAGCTCCAATGTGAACTATGCCCGCATATCCCAACAAACATCGTGAAACGCTTTTGGCACTTAACCCCACATTGAATAGTTTGTAATCCGGTTTAAAGAACCGACTCATAGAAGTATTTGGATTGACTAGAACAATAACGGAGCTGTCTCTACAAATGGTACCATCCATGATCCGAGTTAGTTCAGAACTACCTCCGGTAAACCCATCAATTAAAAATACAGCATCTTTTGCATGTTCTTCTAAAGTCACCCAAAACTCATCGCATGTAACTTTGCTGTGGTTAGGCATAGTCTGGTGGTAGACATACTCACGGAAATCCCCAGAGCAGCCTTGAGCGTCAACCAAAATAAGAAAGCGATAATACTGCGAAAAGAAAGCTGGTTTAGAAGCCCATTTGTAAGCCAGCATAGATGCTAACATTGATTTACCACTACCCGCCTCTCCTTCCAATATCACCCTTTTCCCTGCTCTCCCAGAAACTCTCTCGGGTAAAATATCCGCTAATCGAACTTTGTGCCTGTAAAGAAATATGTCCAGTCTTCGTTTAAAACAATACGATTAAAATATAATTTTCTATAAAAATAAATCTGTCAAATGCCTGCTCATTCGTAATTATCGACATTTCAAACTTTTTCGGTTCCATAAACGTAACTATTCAAAAAAAGTAGGGGATATTTGATTTTTAAGTGTTATTAAAGTCACCTAATGAAACTGACGAAGAAACAAATGACAAAATGAAATGAAGTTCACATTCATCGATTTATTCCAAATGATCGTTAGACTAAGTAAGGCACAGACTGACCATTATAAGGGTAAAATGATACCCGGGGTCAAACAGCAAAGTTACCACAGCATCACAACCAAGTCAGTAACGGGTAAATCCTCCTCTGTTTGCCAAACAAGCATTGATCCGACGTGGCATACTCCTAATGAGACGTCTAAGGTCATTTTGGTCCAGATTGTCCCATTCCTGTTGCAACGCAGCAGCAAGTTCTTGGACATTGGCAGGACGTTGTTGACGTTGACGTAACCTCTGTCCAAGCATGTCCCAGACATGCTCGATGGGGGAGAGGTCGGGACTCAGTGCTGGCCAAGGTAATGTAGTGATGTTCTGTTGTTGGAGGTAACCTGTAACGATCCCGGCCCTGTGACATCTTGCGTTGTCATCCTGGAAGATGAAACGGCGGCCATGACGTCGTGCGAACGGCACAACATGGACTGCCAAGATGTTGTCCAGGTAGTACTGGCCTGTAACACGCCCTGCAACAACATGTAAAGCCGTTCTTCCAGCAACAGTGATGCCTCCCCACACCATAACAGAACCACCCCCAAATCGATCATGTCTGATGACGTTAACGTCTTGGAAGCGCTCGTTTCGACGACGCCACACCCTCCTACGTCTGTCCAAAAAATCAACAGTGAACCTTGACTCATCTGAAAACATCACATTGCTCCAGCGTCGATTATCCCAGTGTTGACGATCCCTACACCAACGACGTCTTGCCTGAATGTGATGATCTCTCAAACAAGGGATCACGCGAGGACGTCGGGCGCGAAGGTGACCCCTATGCAGTCGATTCCGAATCGTCTGGCCACTCACTCTCACACCAGTGTCTGTTTGAAGACGAGCGCTGATCTGATTTGCTGTGATGACACGATTTCTCAAGGCCAAGGTACGGATAAATCGATCCTGGGCTTAAGTTGTCGCCCTTGGTCGACCTGAGCGTGGTCTGTCCTGTACAGATTGTGTATCACGGTATCTGGACCATAGCCTGCTTATGACAGACTGAGAAACATTCATCGTCCGCGCCACAACCGCCTGTGTTGTGCCGATCTGTAGCATGCCAAGGGCACGTAACCTTTCATTTTGGGTAAGCCGACGCATATCAAAATTTGTTTTCTGGTCACTAAAACAATTAAACTGATGTTTCCACCCTGGAATTCAATGCCACAATGACTGTAACATTCAAAGTCAGAGTCGTGCAAATCTTGGGTTGGACCCCCATGATGATCCCAAGCATCACCTGCATTCCATGCGGTAGCTATTGGTGCGTTTGGGCGTCACATGTAACTGGAAATGTTTCTTCTGTTAGGTTCTATAGTGACTTTTTTCGTAGTCATTTGCATATTTTAGTATTATGCCCCCAAAATCAAATATCCCCTACTTTTTTTGAATAGTATAATTCATACATTAAATCACCATTCAGCTTAACCATCCGGCCAAGTATTGTGTTGGTATAATAAGACCCTTACTCGTTCGTACACGCATAATATAATTATTAATATGATGTATGGTTAATTTGGTTGGCTTACCCGTCGCTGTTCAATATATCAAGTTTAGTGTAATATTCATTGATAGGTAGTTTGATGTTCTCAATCCATGGTAGGGGGCAACATTTAGTCAACACATTATTATAATGGGCTTTTAATGCTGTGTTACACAGTCCAATCATATCTGAAATGTGATTAACCAGTTAGGTATTGATAAAGAAAAAAGAACATATAGATTAAAAAAAATGTAATCAATAGTATTATGCTGAATAAATGGTTCTAAAAAGATTGCACCAATCGCATAAGGCAGAAGTCATATAAGACGTAAACCACGAATACAATGTATAAATATGTACAAGATACTAGAGCGGGAGCCCAGCGGGTTAACCTAGCTGAAAGTGTACCAATTGTCTCCTATTTGGTATCAATGCATGCATATCTGGTATCATCAGAATGTAAGTCTGCCGGGTATCTGTTGGTGGATGTGGCATTCCAAGCCCAAAATGCCATGCCCCCCGCCCCCCCCCCCCCCAACTAGGCTAGATTAGCTCAAAAGTGTACCACATGAAATTCCTACAGCAGTGTACCGTACATCTTCAGGTACTGCAAAAACACCCTGGCAGACATTCCTAGTGTTGGGGTACCCCTGACAGAGCTATATAATTGCCAGACATTTGTAGTGGTGGAGTATTCCTGACAAGAGTTATCTAATTTCCAGACCACAGCTAGGCTAGATTAGTTGAAATCTGTACCACCTAAAACAGCTTATATGTTCGCTGAAAAGGGCGGGGGTAAAACATTAATATATTTCAGATTCATCGCACTCATTTAACACAATGGCAGTAATGGATGGCAGGCAGGGTATACTTGCCTTTCATGGACAACTGGTACTATTTCCCACTATGACGTTTTTTCTGCAGTGGTGAATATATTTCCTGCGAAACTCTACTTTGCCGAATCCGTCCATTAGCAAGAACCCCTTATGTTTGATTTTTATTATTGTTATTAACAGTATAGTGAAAGTGTTTGGCAGATTATAATTTTATCATGAGATCGGGAAATTACCTTTAGTTTCTTTAACTCCATGCTTGTAAGTAATTCTTCTCAGCTCTGTCACTTCATCATATATTTTCGTATATTTAAACTTAAGAGCATCACAGAGCAACTTTAAGGCATATGGTAACTTAGAGTTCTGTATCTTTGCTAATATGTATTGCATTCTGTCGGAGTTTCGGGAGAGAGCCATTATTTCCTGGCGGTCTGTTATTTTGATAATTTGCCCTTGTTGAAGTCTATCAATAATATCTTCTGCCACCACATTGTCCACGAGAAGTTTAAACATTTTTGCAAGAACGACTTTATCTTCTAAGCTCAAACCTGCTTGGTGAAATGCAAAAAAAAAAAAAGAGAACTGGATTATTTTAACAGAAATAAGTCATACCTGAGTAGGTGATCGGTGAGTGTAGAACAGTAGTGGCCATTACTCATACATATCTTCATCGTTAATTTTAATTTTCATATATTTTTTTAAAGATATTCATTTCAGAAATTATAAGAACAAACGCATATAATATTCGTTACCTTCGTGTTCTTCGGTTGACTTTTTATTCCTAGAACCTTTAGAAGGCTTGTTCAATGCTCTAGGTCCATTAAGATGTCTCATCGCTCCCACATCCGATTCAATAGTTCCCCATATTTCTTTTACTTGGTGAATATAATAATTCTGTTGCTCTAGTGACAGTTGTTCGGTGTCAGTGCGGTGAATTTTACTCCGAACAGTTGCTCCACCATGGCGAAGAAGAACCCCAACTACCTGTCTCCACAGGACTGGATACTCTTCATGTCGAACACCAACAAGAGATCCGATTTGTTGTAGAAAAATCTGAAGACGCACCACATCGGCACTGAGACTGGTGTCCATAGCTAATGGTACTGTGGCCCAACCATTAGGATACGGGGGACTCAAATGACAGATGGTTTGAAGCAATATCACCAAAAGTCTGGAATCATAATACTGCGAGCTGACGGCGCCTTTACCTGGGGGATATAATACTTTCCACTGCTTCTCTGAGATGGCTTTTTGTTGATAAAGTTTTGCAAGAACGGACTGTATATGGACTTGTGCGAGGTGATCTTTCAATGATATGGCAGGGTGGATACTGTTGAAAGTACTTCTCAAGGCATAAGTCCCAGCATCGTGAAGCAACCAACACAGTTTAGCCAGATATTCTTTTTCTCTATCTGTTACCAGATTTTGCACTCCTGATCCTTGATCCATCGACGATGATCTTATTTACATTCTGAAATACACAAATAAAGAAAGCATATACTCAATGAGACTTTATACCTGTATCAATTTAAGAGACTTTATACCTGTATCAATGTTGTTCTCTAGAGTAAATAAGTCTTAAAACCCTTATAACGCTACATTAGCTAACACAATCTTTAGATCTTAACATCGATCAACATTATCAATAAATGATACAGATACGTGTACGGGCCAGCGTTGTTAGGTACACCCTGGAATGTTTTAATAAATAAATGCCAAACACGTCTTTATTACTGAAGCTAGTTATCGATCGTCATTGATTAAACTAGTCCACAGGGTAACATAACTATCAATTGCATGAATCTTCAAAATATTTCTTTATTTTCGAGGATAGCTCTTTACAGACTGGACAAAAACTCTATCATGAATATATTATGATTACAATAAGAAATAAGGATATTATTTAAGAGGGCATAAGTCAACCCCAAGTAAACCAATCATTCAAAATTAGCTTTATCCGTAACATAAGAAGCTTCAGTTAAGAAGTAAATTGTTTACAGTTCTATTATAAAGCTTTCATATCAATAATTTGAATTGCTATGTATACCAAAAACTAAAGGAAATATACCTTAGAATTGAAAGAACGCTAATGGCCCTTCTAACCAAAACATTCATCAAAGATAATAAATATGACATGTGTGCCCAAATAGTTACCAATATGATAATATAAAGTTTACACAATATACTAGCAGTCAGTAAAATATCAACAAATCATAAACACCCCATTCAAAACGGATTATATGTTTTATATTCACCTTTGAATAACCAAGAAACAACGTTCCCCCTCTACTTAAAACCTATTGACAGAAACGTCCAATCTGTCTATTCATTTACAAAGTACCATATAATTAGCTATAGCAAACAAATGGGGTCAACAGTTTAAGTTGAAAGCACTACAATATTTATTTTACTCTTACTTTTACGGTTATTATTTAGGTATGTAGACACAAATACTTTAAAATGATTGCCAACATAGCAAATCAATCCCACACAAAATAAATCAGGGGATTATAAAGATTGAATGACTTTTCACTAGGTGTAAATTGGTACAACTTCGTTAAAGTTTTTTTCATTTTAGGCCCACTTTACTGTATATCTATAAATACTCTTTATTAAAAAGATTTAAATCTCCATAAACAACTCTTAAGTCATTCCAAGCCCTGCACTCTGTATAATCATCTAAGTCTCTATATTATCCATGATGTATCATATATGCTCTATAATTATGTAATTATGTATGTATGTATGTATGTATGTATGTAAATATTTATAATGTGTACATGTACCTAAATCAGAGAGAGGGGTTACACATAGGCATAGCCTGTTCCCCAATCCAAATTCAGATTTAATGACTAAAAATATTGTTTAAAAAAAAAAATACGTTTGAATGGTAGATTTTGCTTTTAAAGTAATGACACACGTCATAGCTGAAGCTTACATGGAGCAATGAAGAAAGACATGGTTCATTTATTAACAGGTTGCTGTTATTAATACAATATTTGCCATAACAGATCTAAGTTGTCATTTCTTCCAAATAATCTACTGTTTCAAAACGTATTCGATTATTCAGCAAGTGTTATGGTATGTAATGATGTACAGTAATATTGGCTGAGTTTGGGAGGACGAATGTTTGAGCCACAGGTAATGGGCGTTAACTGGCGATAATAAGGGCAAACTAGGGTTAGGGTTTGAGTTAAAAAAAAACTGTGGCCGAACAATCTCTACTTTCATGAGTTATGTACTCAGTATTAAAATTAGCCACGGTTTCAGAATAGAAATAGAATGTTTTACAGCTAGTTATACGCCATTTTATTAATGACCACTGTATAACTTATTAAATATGTATTGTATATTCTGAACAATAATAGATTTGTAACAAATCACAAGACAAACCATTTTATAATACTGAACTCTTTATACTTAAAGCGTGATGAATCGACACGCAATACTTGTACCGTGGGAAGGTTAACAGGCTAGAATTCTAACTAGTAACGTGCAGAGAGGGATAAAGGGGTCGTCAGGCAATGATAGAGTGAATTAAATTATGTTTTTTGGAATCAGCCTTGTTATACAAGCTGCCCTGTTTATTATCAATCAACAGTTTATTTCGTCTGCTTTGATATATTTAAAGTGTCTTTTGAATGCAGTACTGTACTAGGTCCTATATACTTGAGTCTTGTGGGCATATAACCAAGCAGTTGACCCCGGGCATTATCAAACATGTGCACGCAGCTGGAACATAATAACAAAGTACAGGAGACTAAGAAGTGGTACCAGGTGTTCTAGAAATACTAGACTTAACCAACCCTTATGACTAACCGAAGAAGACGCTATTTTAACCATTATAATGACAATTCACTTAAACAGTTAGTAAACTGCTCCGCGCTATAAATATGCTGTAATAATAATAATAACAATAATAATAATTTAAACCTCAACAAGCTTGCTTTTGATTTAAAAATTAAATAAAAATATAATAATTTAAAATGTATTTCATCATACCACGAATTTAAACAGTCCACTTTGAATATAATTTCAGAAGTTGCACGCGATGCACACACGTTGTTTGTGTTTGATTTTGTATTTTTGACAATCTCATGACCCGTCACCATCGGCGAAATAGGAGACAGCTAGCTCTACATATGTTTCAAAGACTTACAATGATTCAAAATGTAATATTTGTATTGTTTTCATTTGACTTAATGAAAATGTAATTTGTGGTTTATGGATTTTGAAATATGTTTTAAAAATGGGGAAAATGTTTTGGTAACAAAAATACCATGATTTTTTTTCTGTATTGAAAATAGAATTTAGGTTATTTGAAGGAATTTCTGTTTTTATAGGGAAAACAAATACGGATAAAATGTTCCAGGTAAATTTTGTTTCCAGAACTTTTTACTTCTTTTCACGGATTTTCTTTTTGTGACAGTGTATAGAGTGTTCAGTTTTAAGGCCCCAACTTTGAGTTGAATTATTTACATTTGCCTTCAACTCGTTCTAAATACAATCAAGGCACGTTATCCAAGGGTTTTTTTTTATTTCATGTTTGGACAATGTGTTACTGTACTTCTGTTCTACAACAATATCTCTGCCATGATTGGTTTAAAGTAATAGTACCTGTGTCATCAAATGATATATACACCTTAATTTGTAAAATCCATACGTGAACAGAATTAACTTTACAGTGGACAATCATATGATATACCAAAGGCATTTCTCTGCTTACATAGGAGTCTCCTAAACGCAAAATTGTATTCTAGAAACTATTACCTCTATAAAAGAAATTATGTTCAACTAATTCAACAGCTGATCTTTCTATTAATATCATTTATATCTGCTTACAGAAAGTTCAGACTACACCTTTCGGTTTGTCAGCAAACAAATCGATATATCAATACGGTTTACGTGCACCTATATATGTATGTCATTCATGAGTGTATAATGACGTAAGAGGAAATTACATAAAATTTTATATAGCTAAGAATCCCCCAATTAAATACAGTCCAGATAAATATTAGAATCCATAATTTAACAAAAGTTTTGGTTACAATCAACTCTACGTTTGGTAAATATTCCTGTGTTCGTGGGTCTCCCAGTGAATGCTGGTCTCAAGATCCATTCACTTGATCTGGTGTTTATTGCTTGCAATAACTGTGTAGTTTGTATGTCTTATCAGCCCGCAGTTTTGTCGTATTTGATATATTTAATTCATATATTATTATTATGAATTCTAAATTTGATAGAGTTCAATTTGTGTTCTCTAGACCAAGAACAATACGTAAAATTGGTATATTTGATTTCAATCAATTACCTGTTAGCTTATCAGGATCTCTGAGTACAATTCAGTATTCATATGGAGTATACATTACATAGTCGTCTTAAATAACCATTTTAAGACAATGCGTATAACACTTACGTCAATTAAAGGCTATTGACTTCTCGAACAAAGAAAAATTACACATAATGTATGGTTTTGATTAAAATTAGATAATAAAACCACGTTGAACCGCCATCAGTACAGATATCATATTCACAGTTTATTAGTTATATTTTATAAGTTTGAAATATATGTATTAGAATAATCGTAAGTTTGAGAATGAGGTTGGCTGGAGCACAAGTTGATTGAGTTTGGTTTTTGCAATATCCAATTTACGTGTATCCATTTTTAAGCTTCAATTTTTAAAAATGTTGGAAATCTATGATTTTTTTTAAAAAAAATATGTAAATTTTATCAGAAAATCTACTCTGTTTTGGCTTGATAGAAGTGTTTACTGGAATTTGTACAAATACATCTTATATAGTTTCAGGTGTAATTTGTACTCAGCTATGTGTGTGATAACCCTCAAAATCTACACGAATTATATAACATTCAAAATTTGAATAATCGTTTATCTAAAGTATTTTATAGCTATCATATTATACATGTATTCTGTTGTTAATCATGGTGTGACTTAACCAACTTTCATAATATGTTAAACTTATCTCTATCAATAACATCAGTGCAGTTATACAAGAGCACGTTTCATATTAACTATTAATTTGAAAGGAAACAATATTTTATGAATATCGCCATTGTGTGTGTTATGTACATATCATGAATATATAACGCAATATAAAAAAAAAAACAAGCAATGAATACAAAACATCAAAAGAAACACATGTTCTTTTGTTGTCTATTCAGCTCTTTGTTACATATAGCGTTTACTTACATAATACATATCAATATTAATAAATAAAATTAAGGATTTCAAATATAAATCTAGTAACTTTATGATTCATTTCATTATTTATTTTGCATTATGATTTTTGCTTAATAACACTGCGACAGCTACGTACCCTTTCAGTGTGCCGTCGCCGTTTTTGTTTCCTTACAAATAGGTGACCACATTCTAGTACATTAATAACCTGCACGCATTATGTTTTTTACCAAAAAGCATTACAATATTTTTATAACTTCTTTGATCAACCAAAGCCACAGTTAAAGGGCGTATAGCTATATTCTCTGGAACTTTAAACTAGAAAAAATGAGTCTAAAAGCACAATTTTTATTAAAATACAACATGAATGTATATAAAGTGATTAAATTCATTTTTCAAATTTTTTATACGCCCAGATTTTCATGTGGACATATTATGCCGTCGCCCCTGTCCGTCTGTCTCCCAAAGATCTCGGTTTCTTACGAAAAGTGCATGTGTCGGACCATGACTTCATGGATTATGGCCCCTGGTTGTACGAAAAGTCACGTTTTTAGCTGGTGGACACTCTAGAGGTCATAATTTTCATCTGATTTTGATGAAACCTGAACTGCATGTTTATAACCCAAAGATCGTGGTTCCTTCTGATATTCGCACATATCGGATCGTAAATTCCTGAATTATGGCCCTTGGTTGTACGAAAAGTCGTGTTTTTAGCTTGTGGTCCCTCTAGAAGTCGCAATTATTAACCAATTAAAAAACGCGTTCGAATATATCCCCGTTACATCAAATTGTCGGTTGAGTTCGAATGTCGTGAAAATTGGACCAAAACTGCCGAATGAATGGCCTCCCCTCCCCATGCAAATAGTGTAAATATGGTATATCAAGGTTGTGGACTCTAGTCTCCGGAGGCCACAATTTTGATCCGAATTTGAATGAAACTTTAAATTTATCTTTATATCACAAAGATCTTGGTTCCTTTCGATAATCGCGAATATCCGATCGTAACTACCTGGATAATGGCCCCTGATTGTTCGAAAAATCGTATTTTTAACTCGTGGACCCGCTAGAAATCACAATTTGTATTCATTTTTTTTTTAAATGTTTAAATATCTCACCGTTACACATCAATGAAGGTTGAGTTTGAAACTATCGGACAAAATGGCCGCTCCTTGTACGCAAATCGTGTAAAAGTATGTAATACCAAGGCTGTGGACATTCTAGCAGTCACAATTTTTATCTGATTTTGATAAAAATTGAAAGATATGATTATAATCAAAAGACCTTGGTTCCTGTCGATATTCGCGCATATCGGACCGTACCTTCCTGGATTATGGCCCTTGATTCTACGAAAGTCATGTTTTTAGATTGTGAACCCGATGTTTATCCGATTTTTAAAAGAAACGTTTAAATGTATCACCCTAAAGACGGTTGAGTTCGAATTTCGTGAAAATCAGACAGCAACTGCCTTACAAAATGGCCGCTCCTTGTACGCAAATAGTGTAAAAGTATGTAATATCTAGGTTATGGACACTCTAGAAGACATAATTTTTATCCGATTTTATCTCAGTCCCTTTCGATATTCACGCTTTTCATGTCATAACTTCCTGGATTATGGCCCCCGATTGTACGAAAAATCGCTTTTATTTGTAGCTTGTTTCTATCCATCCCTTGCAAAATGTGGGTGTATCTTGCCTGGCAACCGCTGGTTTATTGTTATTTCTAATCAATTATGCTCGGTGAAATGCGCGAACAGTGCAAATTGAGCGACATACGTTTGCGCCTGCATAGTTCATTCTGCACAGGTTTTGTTATTATTTTGTCGTTTGTAAACCAGCCATTTTTAATTATTTCCGTATTATCTTCTGGTATATTACGTTTTGTCTTTGTTAATTACGCCTGGCACTCGTAACAATTATGCCGATAGAGTATTCCACGTCGTTTACTGATTTTAAAATGTTCATTGTGTCTTAAATATTGGATATTATGATCCCTATTTCCATGGTAAGATAACAGGATCAATATTGATTGACATTGACAAGTATTGAATTCTAATTCGTGTTTTTAATTTGATTATGGATAATATTGAGTTATAATAAATTTACGCATAGTTCATTTTCTTTGAGATCTCTTCATTTATTCCCGTCTTCATTTTCCCGGTCGGAGCAAAACAGTGGGACGTTAAACCCCATTTCATTTCATTTCATTTCTTCATTTATTAATAATTCTGACTGCACAAAAGTTTTTTATATTGCCATTCCTAGATTTGTAAGAAGAGCGTAAAATATCTGTAATTTCCCTGAAGGGCACTTGAAGCGAACGTCTCAAATCTCATAAAACTATTATTTTATTGTTAAACATACACTATACAAGAGCTAAATCTGTCTATTGCCTGAAATGTTATCTAAATTATTAATTAGATATTAATTAACTTATCCAGACCATAATCAACTCTCAATGCCATCGCTAGCCTGCGAATACCTTTTTTGAAAAATAATTAAACGTAAAATTGGAAAATCGAGACATTTAGTAACGATGATCGTGGCTAGCCTGAAATTCAAAAGCTAATATTTCGGTTCAGACTGAAGCAATTTGACTGAAATTTTCCGCATATTCTATTTACTTCATCTAATTTTTTAACTATTATGAATAGAACTGTCAACTCTTGATCTAATCTCCAATAATGCCCCTTCAAACTATTTAAGGTAAATGCAGATTTTAAGAGTCGTGTAGGACCTCGTAAACTTGTCTCTGTGATTAATTTTCACCGGTGTGTTATTCAAAGAAGAGCTCTTGAGGTGAACGTTTATCAGTTGTAACCAAGCTACTAAATCAAAACACTCTAAGAGAGATATAAAATTGTATAAATAATGACAGCGAACTTGACCCTAATAGGGTCTTTATACTATTAATAAAAACAATGACATTGTGTCTTGTAGAATTAAAGATACGGGGTCGGGTTATCGGAACTGGAACATAGTGAACGCCTGCCTACAGTTAGCTAAGGTTTGAGAACAGGTATTCTCGAGGTGTGAAGCAGATATGGATCTCTTGCGTTCTATAGTTTGACCATAGGTCCACAGAGTTTCCCACCCTTCAGATCCCTACTAGCAAGTGCGAACATTGCTAATTTGTAACATCTTGTGAATTGAAGTGGGGTATTGTTGCGTATGTGCTTTAATTAAAATGTTTTGTGTCTTCTGTTAAATTGAGAAGGAGTAGGGTTGCCTGTCCAGCCTCATGGGTTTTCTCCGGGTCCTCCGGTTTCCTCCCACTGCTAAAGACCCCTACGCGCAAGCGAATTATTGAAATAAAATTAAACCATTCTGTTAGACCCTAAGTAACCTAGTCTGCGTCGAGTGGACGTTAAACCCCATCTCTCTCTCTCTCTCTCTCTTTTGTTAAAATTGTATATTATTATGTTCCTTGGAAAATGTATATCTAATTAAAATGGATTCGTCCGTCCGTCTGTCCGCCACACCCCTTGGGACACACTAACTCTAATTGAGCTAGATTGTTCAAACTTTGTGTATGTGTTTATTAGGCGAATGCCTTGACCAAGTTCGATGACAAGCATTTGCTGTTTAGGCTAAATAGAGATAACAGTTTGATTGCTCGGTGCTTTACAGTTAATTAATATGTGTCATCTGTTTGCGGCAGGGGGCATCAGCCCACCAGATGGCTTGCCGTACTTTGTCCGAATATCGTTTGTTTGGTCTATATATTCAGCTAGAACCCTAACCTAACATACAACAAATAACACCACCTATTTAACACAATTGCCTCTGAAATGAGCGATCGATTACATATTTCAAAAATAATTACAAAATCAATGAATGAATGATCTGATCAATCACACAAGAAACGAAAGGGAAAATGTCACCTATAAGATCGTTGATAGCCTTTATATGGCTCAATGGGTTTTATTTTTCGATTATCGATAATTATTCTATTAACAGAATTATAAATGTAATTTTCACGGTGATTTTGATGACTGTATCAAAGTAAGTAATTAACAATGTAATGGGAACTATAAGATCTTAGAATGTATATGAGTTACTTTGGCTATTAAAGCAACCTATGTCTAATATCAGAGATGGAGAGTGTAAAACAACAAAGAACACGATTTTTAAATGATGTTTGATGTTGTATGCAGAAGGAGGGAGTGAAATGAAGCTTTACGTCCATTCGACACAACCTAGGTCATTTTGGAACTAAGATAATGTACAATTTTATTTACATTGTACATAACTCACGTTTTGCGGTTAGGTGTCTTTAGCAGTAGAATAGTCAATAATTACGGGTACAATTTCCACACTAAGCTATTAATAAAATACGTTTCTATAATGCCGAAAAACCCCGACATGTATATTGGTAGTTCACATATATTGGAATACAAATATGGCTGTGTTTGCTAATTGTTACAACACCCGATACTCTTCAAATTATTAGCAGAGGATAATTAGCGGGGTGATTTTACGCCTTAACCGGCGAATTTCAATATCCATACCCACTCATGCTTACACCGAAAAACAACATGTATATATAAAAATCAATTGACAAATTTCTAAATATCAAGTTTAATTATTCTTGAAACCATCTGTTATAATATATGAAATCTTCTTGTTTCCAAAATAAAGCACACATAACATGAATAAAATAGGGTTTAAGGTCACATTACTGTGTCCTAACCGGGTTAATGAAGAATACATAGGGAAAATGTGGAATATTTTTTGGTCCACAGTGAATCAGATGCATAATATTACATAAGTATATGTAGGTGTACATTTTGAAAATGATAAGTGTATAGCCTAATGTGTACATAACATATTGTAGCCCACTATTGAAGATCGGACATTATGATATTTATCATCTTATATAACATTACATATAAAATTATAACTTACTGCTGAGGGCAAAATATTTCTCCGAATCTTTCTTGTTCCTTAAGCCACTTTATCCTAGAGCGATATATCGTAGCAAATAGGCTTGTATGTCAGTCATAAACGATCGAGTGTACCATGACTACGTAAACAATTTAACGTGCCTTTATCATATCAGTATATAAACATGTAGGTTGTAAATTATCGTTTCATTGTGAGACTGTACGATGAAATAGTGTCATAAATATTATACGCGGGGTATACAAATTATACAAACCATATCATAGATTAAAAACTTTAACGACTGTGTGGGTATTAAATTTTAGACCTACACACATAAAGATTTAATACTGTAAAAAAAAACAGGACCACAGTATGCTTCCTGTGTATTTTTCCTAATGTAATGGCCTCTAATTAATAGCCCCAACATAAATGTTAAATATGGAGTTTGATTCATCACATAATTATTGTACTCTATCAATAAACAATTAGGCCCCAAAATTCTTTCACGTCGCCATCTTTATACACCTTAGATAAATATAGTAATAACACTGTCTTTTTTTTGTACAAAATGCCCATACTTCTTGGGATTTTTTTTTAATACTCTGATATTCTTTATCAGATAGCAAAGTTATATTACATAGTACATTGTTTCGCCTTTTAAGGTAATATGTATGAGTAATCTGACATGTTATGCCTTTAAATAGAAATTAAATGAAATGGGGTTTAACGTCCTACTGTTCTGCCCCGACTAGAGAGAGAGAGAGAGAGAGAGAGAGAGAGGGAGAGAGAGACAGAGAGAGAGAGAGGCAGAGAGAAATGGGGTTTAACGTCCACTCGACACAAACTAGGTCAATTCGGGACTAACACATGGTTCAATAATTCGCTTGCGTGTAGGGGTCTTTAGCAGTGGGAGGAAACCGGAGGACCCGGAGAAAACCCACGAGGTTGGACAGGCGACCCTTCTCCGTGTCACGTACAACCGGGGAATCGAAACCCCGCCAGTTGACTCAATGACAGACCGTACGTATGATTGCCCCGACTAGGCTTTTCAAGACGGGCATGCGGCATAAAGTGTGTCACGAGGGAAATTTTGCCCAGGCAGCGGCACTATGACCTACTCTTATATGCCTTTAAATAGAAATGAAATAAAATAGGGTTTAATGCCCTACTGTTCTGCCCCGACAAGGCTATTCAAGACGGGCATACGGCATACAGTGTGCCATAAGGGAAATTTTGCCCAGGCAGCGGCACTGTGACCTACTCTTATATGCCTTTAAATAGAAATGAAATAAAAAGGGGTTTAACGTCCTACTGTTCTGCTCCGACTGGACTAATGAAAACGGGCATACGACATACAGTGTGCTATGAGGGAAATTTTGCTCGGCAGCGGCACTATGACCTACTCTTATATCGAATTCCAACTGCGTAGGGGTCGTTTACGTGTACACCAACGTATACACGGGACCTCGGTTTTTCGTCCCATCCGAACGACTAGTCATCCGTCCTTGTCAGGCTTTCCTTCCTGCACCAGCCTTTAAATAGTAAATGCAGGAGGACGTATATATTACATCAAGACCAGCCGTACGGTGATTTGGGTATTAGGTAGATCAAGTGTGTTATTTCATTTAGTCATGGAACAAGTTTTATTCTACATGATTTTTGGGCCATGAATTGGTCCCCAAGCGGCTAAAGTTAATATCCGATTGACTTTAAATTTATACACAGTGCTTTAGGTCATGACACGAAGAATCCTATTGATTTTAATTATTTCCGATACTTACTGCCATAGTTATGGCCCTTGATCACTATGAAAAATCCCGTGGATGCTTTAGAGACCATAGTTATCATCTGATTGATTTTATATTTATACACCGTGTTTACGCCTACATATAATCGTTTTGATTGACTTCAGATTGATACAAAACGTTAGCATGGGCCAAACAAATTCTAATGATTGTCTGATAATGAGTTGTTACTCTTAGTTACAGAGAGAGAGAGAGAGAAATGGGGTTTAACGTCCATTCGACACAAACTAGGTCATTTCGGGACTAACATATGGTTTAATTTTATTTCTATAATTCGCTTCCGCGTAGGGGTCTTTAGCAGTGGGAGGAAACCGGAGGACCCGGAGAAAACCCACGAGGTTGGACAGGCGACCCTACTCCTTGTCACGTACAACCGGGGATTCGAAACCACGCCAGTCGACTCAATGACAGACTTTATGATACAGCGCGCTCACGCTAACCACTCAGCCATCCAACCCCCCTACTCTTAGTCAGATTTTAGTGTGTTATAAATGTTTCATTACCCACAAAAATAAAAATATGCGACTGCCCGTTCGATTTAGCTGCTGTGGGCATATGTTTCGTTGCCTGGAAAAAGTCTAAGACTCCGCCAATTCATATTCGATCGATAAATGGACTTAGATTCCTATTCCAAGATGGCTGCAATGACGTCATTGTCAGTTCCTGTTGAAATGGTTTAGTAAGAAAGACGACTGGTTTATTAGTTTCAGCTGTAATTGGACTGGGAAACACAATCCGTAATATCTCCACATTCATGACTTTATCTAGGGAGATTGAGCACAAAACAAATCAATATATAAAATCCAATTAAATTGACATTTATACTAGACCAAGACCGAGGGTGTGTCATTTTGAATGACGACTAAGGAATATATTTTATTCCCAAACTTATCTAAATGAACTGCTCGCACTTGTTTTAAAACACCAAAAACATGCAACATAGATCTTTGCCTTTTTAAACGTTAGGATATACTGGACCATTCCGCACACAGAGAACTATCTACTTTGAGAATAGATCTCTGCTCTGAATGGCCACCAGGTTGAAAAATTAATTTACTATTTTATTATGCAGTTCTAATCTGTTTTACATATCTTCCACACGCACAAATACAAAAATAAACATTTTTCGATTTATGTGAAAATGGAAGCTGTATAGGTACTTCCCAATGTAGAAATTAAAATATCGGTCAACTAGCTTCGTGATAGGACACCTATAAATGCCTACTTCTGCTCGTCTTTCTACCCCCACCGCCAACCTGCACCGATTTTGCATGGCGATTTTCGTTGACTTTTTGGTGTAGAATCAAAAAGGGGTTTGATTGTACATTTTCTGTCAAGTTTTGGAGAAATTTCATTACTTTGGGGCGGAAAGATAACAGTTCGTAATAATTTGGTTATATTGAAATGTAGGGCGGATAATTACCCTGTATGGTACTTCCAGTTTGTGTATCTTAAGATGTCCATGGTGAACCTTATACATGGGCTAAATATATTTGTTAAGGCCAGCTCAATTTTCGTCAAGGTCGCTGGGATGTAAATAAGGTTAGGGCACGTGATTGTTGCCGAAATTGAGTGTAGGTTTAAGGTAAGCATTAGGGCTAGGTCCAGGGTTAGGTATAAGGTTGGGATTAGTGCTAGGCCTGTTTATATTTCGTTACCTTTGACCAGATTTGAAGTTGGCCTTATCAAAAAGATCTAACCTTATACATACTTTTGAGCAAGCAGTTACTGTGGTAGAAAAAGATCAACCCAACCAAAATATTTTGGAAAGTTAGAACTGGTTGAAGAGACGAGTTAATGGGGAAATTAATGATGATATAATTGGGTCTATTCGTAGACAGATAACGTTATAGTTTCGTATGACACTGGACATGGCCACAATTAAAGATTTCATGATCTAGCCACAAGGCACCCAACCCCCCAAACAAAACAGGATAACATTTTGTTAACTAGTATATATATTATCTTTTTGGTGCTCCAAGATGTAGCTCAAAGCCAACCATATAAAATGACCGACAACAATCAACTATCATTTAGAGAGAGACAGAGAAATGGGGTTTAACGTCCACCCAACACAAACTAGGTCATTTCAGTACTAACGCATGGTTCAAATTTATTTCAATAATTCGCTTGCGCGTAGGGGTCTTTAGCAGTGGGAGAAAACCGGAGGACCTGAAGAAAACCCACGAGGTTAGACAGGCGACCCTACCCCTTGTCACATACAACCGGGGAATCGAAACCACGCCCGTTGACTTAATTGACAGACCTTATGGTACAGCGCGCACGTGCTAACCATGCGGCCACCCCCATCCCCACCCGAACTATCAGTTTAGCATAACTCCATTAAGTTAACACAGTTAGAGCAAAACAGGTAATAAAATATTAAATTACAAACACGTAGCATTCTAATTAAATTCAAATCAGTCTACACTATTTTTCAGTATACACGTACATAATTATAATCAACAATAAAAAACAGAGATTATAGTTTTATAAAAATTCAAACGATAAATCTTCTATAATATAATATTAACGGCAGTAACGTGGCTAGAGTGAGTGGTGTTGGGGGCTGTCTACTTCATTGAAAATGTTTTTTACTCCTGTACTGTAGGCCCTTTTAGCAGAATTATATTTAGTTTTCGTGGGGGTGGCCATCTTAAGGACCCCCCGGGCTTCGCCATCTCTAGCCACGCCACTGTCTAACAGATTATCCTATACAACAGTCAAACTATAGACAACACTCTAGCGGACAGAGGGAGTCCGCGGTCAGGATACTGACATAGCGTATATACTTATAACGAGTTATTGTTATAACGAGTTATTGTTAACTGAAATACCAATAACGAGTGTGGTATAACACTAAAGTAACGTATTCAAAGTTCAGTTTCTCTACACACAATTCTTTAAACAAAACACACATCAAATGGTATAAAATGAGCATTTTAACCATATTTATGTAAAAATATCGTAGAGAACCTTATCACAAAAGAGAAAGGTTGTTGATGGATCATAAGGGCGGTTAAAGAAATAACACACTTTGTCGTATACCATTTTATACCTTAATTTATAGAGACTTTTAATGGATTTCAAAATGATTTTTTTCCATTGAAGCACCATCCATGCATAAATTATACATAACATACATGTATTATTAATTGTTTTCCAAAAAATGAGTTAATTCACGTCAAATCAATTTTATTTTAAAATGTCTATGTTTCTTCTAAGACCAGACATTTGCATACCTTGTTGTGCTCTTTTTATCTATGATACGACAAGCTCTACAGTTATTACCATTGGTTGGTCCACAATAACCATCGGTACGTCTGTCATCCGTCATAACACGGCGACCACAATAATACTTTCCAGTTATTCCTTTTCGACATGATGCGCCGTCTCGATTAACCAACCATCCCCGTGGAAGTATCCGCACGTTAACATCTTTCTTCATACAGCTGGAGCAATTACATCCATTGGTTGGTCCACAATAACCGTTACAACAAGAACAATGCCCATCCAATTGCCGCATACAATAGTACTTCCCAGTTTCACCGAGACGAACGGGATGCCCAGGTTCATACAGTGTCTTGATGCGATCATTATTAATATAGGGATTAGACGCATCGATAGGGACTTCCTCTTCAAACAATTTCGATGATCCTTTTAATAACGCATCGGTATGCTCTGTATTTAAGTGGTTCAAAAAGTCATCTCGTGTTCCTTGAAATCCACAAGCTTTAGCTGAACAACTAAAGACTTTCTTTGGGCACGTCAGTTCATGACTCTTTTTCTCTGATCTCGTTAGTTTTATTCCGCAATTATAGACACATCCGATTTCCAAACCTCCTATGATTCTTCGAGCTAATGGAGACGGTGTGGCGGTATAACGAGCACGGCATGTTGGACACGCGTTATTTTGTAATCTATCCAAGCAAGATTCACAAAATATGTGGTGACAGCAGCTAGTTTCTACAGCAGCATCTGCTATTTCCAAACATATAGCACAAACGAAATTATCTTCCATCTTGCTCAAACTTTAATGTTTTATTTTATTTCCTTGTATATATTCCCCTGAAATAGAAACATTAAAGTTATTTTTAACGTTTCCGGACAACGGAGTGTTTGATGATTTTGTTAAGAATTGGTTTCTATGGGAATATTAATTTATTATGAAACAATGGACAGTATACTTTCACAAACCTCGGTGAAGATTATAGCTTTTACAATACAAAAGTACACATAATCGGTTAGCATGTGTAGTCCTAAAGTAAACTAGAAGAGTTATCTTATCTTCCGGATAACTACCACAAGCACAACCCATATTACTACTTAGCAATAGTTTGTATTTCAAGAACCAAAGCTGTGGCTTAACGCCCTGGTGAACCTACGAGCGTGGGTCAATTCAGTACCCTCGAGCGATCTCTACCCCGCCCCATAATTTATAACTAATTGCTCAATCTCATCCATAGTTGGTGCATTACAGTAGGGTGTTAATCCCAATTTCGTTTCATTTCAATTCGTTTGCTCAACCTCGACAGTAAGCGCTATGCATGATGTGTCCATTATATGGATAAGCGAACTGCCAATATTTCAGTCGAATTAAGTTCAAAACAAAATTATGCCTAGCACGGTTTATAATATCCGTTAAACTAAATTGGTTTCTATATTTAATTTGTTTTGTTATAATTTTTCAAAAGTGAATATACACAAAGATTAATTTTTAATTCGAAATGTACCCAAGTGTTTCTTTGCGAACGATACATAAATGTGTTTGGATTTTAATAACCACCTGCATACAGATCAGGAGGAATAACAATGAAAGAGGTCGAGATTGGATAAGTAAATGGTATATATGTTGGTCGATTTCTGAATCATATAATTGTCTTAAACTGTATAGCCTTTATGCTGGCATATCGGGCGTTAATGTGAATGTCAGCTTAAGTTTAGATTTTGTCTCTCGTAAAGTATTGTTTAATCCAAAACTGTTTAATCCAAAGCCCGATGATCAGAGTTTATCTACCCGATCGACTTTCGTGAGCAAAAATATGATTATTTCAATTAACAATACCTTATGAATACCCCAAAACGACAGATACGCATCTAAAACAACGTTGTGTAATGACCTTTAAAGGGACCAGGAGACGAAGTTGGCGCATAATTGTGGTTTGTTCCCAATCATTATCATAAACCTATAGCGAAGACTGTTCAGCGTTAATGGGCTTGATCCTTATTAAATAAAGCTTAATAATTATTGACAGTCTGAACACAGTTTATGCCTTCAATTCACCATATTAATATATATATAAATGGATGGTCTGTGTAGAAATAATATTTATTTCAAAATGGCAAACGCTTAGGTTAACATTCGCTTCATCTCCATTTCACTAGCTTTATGAAACAAGAACAAAGTAAAAAAATGTCGACAGCTTGATTCAAGAATTGACCATTTGAAAATTAAATGTGACTTTAAGTGTTGATCAGGATGGAACAAATAATAAAAATATCCTATTTAGTTGGGCTGTAGAATGTTATAATGTGTAAATTATTGTATTTTATCCTATATATTGATAACGCATTTGTTTGTGTGTGTACAATTATTATAATTTAATAAAACCTTTATTTGTTACAATCGATGCAGTTTCTGCTTTAAATGAGAAATGGACTATAGTTTATAACACCATTCTTCTCAGATTAACTCTGGACTAGCGGCAAAATATGATATCATTGTCTGCCGGCATTCCGGGAACACCCCATGATGGTGTAGGCCAATTTTAGCCAAACCATGGTCACACCGTGGCTATAATATTATTCAAATAAATGTTGCTTTTTTAAACTCTGGCTTTAATATTTAAATAAATATTGCTTTTTATAGATTTGTCGGCTAATACTTAAAGGCGAGGTTTTCCGCGAGCCACGTGATCTCCACTTTCCACTCGATTAACATCACCCTCGGTATCCCAAGTGGTCTCATTCCGTTCCACTCCACTATACCCTGGGCTAATCCATAGGGTTTCCATGATTTCAAATTATCTACCCTGGCCTTGATTGTAGCTTGAGTCTACGAACCAATCAAGAAACCGTTTATAACCCAGTCTTACTAATGGAACGGCCATCGTTTCGCGTTCGTTTTTATAAGGATAAAAAAACCCATTCATGTCCATTTACTGAATGATTTATATGAATAATGTATATATTTTTAATTCATTTATATTTTTTATGCTATCAAAATATGTAGTATGTTTCGCTGATTTCAAATATGTATAACATGTATGTTTTACTTTTGTTATATTGTTACTTGTTGTTAATAAATACGCATTTAGTGTAATTTGGCCTTCTCTTGTTTTTGCTTGAGTAAAATTAGGCTACCTTCTGGCTATATCATAACTTAGTCTCTTTAAAAGGTGAGTCTTTGTGTTTTGCTTGTTTTACCCGATGAGAGTTAGTTCCCTTTGTCAACTTTCTTTTCAATTAAGGATTTATGGGATTGGTCGATAACATATCACAATTATCAATAACAGATAACTGGAATACATGCCCCCCCCCCCCGGCATACTGAGGATAGATTAACACGAAACCGCGTGCTGACGGCGCATTTCTTCTACATGGATTCTTCCTCCTACCTATACATCTTATTCATTTTGCAACGGAATAAAATCAAACGGAAAGAAAACCGAAGCCCAGAAAATGCATTGTATTTTCGGTAAGAGTGAAAATAGGTAATATTACAGGACCTGCACACCTGTCGACAGCAGACGATTTTTAAAATACTTATCATTTGCTTAACTTACATTGATAGCTAAAGGGATCACTTAAATACATTTAATTTAAGCATTTGGTTTTATTGATACAATCCTATACGGCAGTTGTAATATAAACAGTATTTAAAATAAAATTTTATTGTGTAAAAAGTGCATGTAACATTAATCAAAATAGTAGATACGTTTAAAGGCTGGCGCACACTATGCGACAACTTTGGCGATTTCGGTCGCCGACGATGAAAAATCTAAAAAATTACTAGTGTGCACCCGGTCGCTAGCGATTTTCCGTCGGCGATGGCCGCGGATATATGTTTGATATGATCACTCAAGTTATCGCTTTGTCGACAACAACTCGTGTAATGTTTTCACTTCGGCGACAAGTTGAGCTACAACCTAGCAAAATAAAACCACATATGAAACAAATTAATTTTGGTTATTTTTCTCATGTGACATTACGACAAACGAGGTTTCACTGAATCTATAGTTAGGCCTAACTTACTTATTGAAATTAAGCTTACTATTGTTGATCTAATTAAACGTGTGAACTGTAAATTAAATTTTGTTAGACTATCTTAAGAAAAGATGAAAAATATCGAATACATACGGTTCCGTCTATATAACAATATACTCATTAATAATATAGTCCCAGGGGCGGATCTAGGAATTTTGAAAAGGGGGGGGGGCGCCGCAAAATGGGGGCACTGACCGCGGAGACGGGGCACGCCGCTGAGAGGGGATTTTTTTTTTTGGGGGGGGGGGGGGTCCCCAAGAAAATTATCCGTCATTATCTTGCATCTGTAGCCATTCCAAGAGCTATTTGGCTGATATTTTCGTCTAAGTAAACGTTCGGAAATCGTTGAAAAATAGCCTTAGAATCGAGCAAAAAAGCCAGTTGAACATGCGACTCGAAAATTGTCAAGGCGAGCGAGGCATTATGATGGGGAAAAAGACGAATCTATTCCCTAGCCACTTCACTATTTAAGCCCTGTAACTTGTACTTTGTACTGTCCACACATGAAACAATGCTATATCAAGTTGGGGGATCACGTGGCTAAGTGGGTAAGACGCTAGCTCGCTAGCCTGGAGGTCGGGTGTTCGATCCCTGCATTAGCCGAGAAAGTTCATCCAGATTTTCCGGCGTGGTTCTCCCTTGTCAGTGATGCAGTACGGAGGGGCTGACAAGGAAAGCTGTCTAGTCGTTCGGATGGGACGAAAACCGAGGTCCCGTGTACACATTGGCGTGCACGTAAAAGATCCCTTGGCAGTTGGAATTCGATATAAGAGTAGGCCGTAGTGCCGCTGTCCGGGCAAAATTTCCCTCATAGCACACTGTATGGCGTATGCCCGTCTTCATTAGCCCAGGTTAGGAGCAGAACAGTAGGACGTTAAACTCCATTTCATTTCATTTCATATATCAAGTTGATTCATGTGCGTCGGTGATGGGCATGAGTGTATACGCCGTCGATTCCACAAGATGTCTGTCTATAGACACTCTATAGGATTAGGGCACCGTCAGCTAAACAACAAGAATTCGTTTGAAAGTGAAAGCATTAATTAGACCAGACTGGTGTGTTTGAATCGATGGTTTGAGTCATTTGGGATCCCTGCAACGGGTTGGGAACGGACATATTTGGGTCTGAGAAAGGGCACTTTCAGCAGTAAAAAAGGGCACTGTCGAAAATTAGGGGGGCGCTTAAATCCGCCTCTGTAGTCCTATAGGATTCATAGACGATAATTAGAATGGGCGTTGTTTTTACCTTACTAAAATATCATCGTAGCAAACAGTTTCCTAGATATGACTATATTAGATATATAAAGTATACTGATTATGAACAATGTTATTGTTTTAATGATCTAAATATTCAACTAAGTGATATCGACCAGGGATGTTGATAACCAACGAAATGGCCACCGATCAATCGCAAAATACCCCGCTAACATTAAATACTACGGAATAAGATCGAGTGTAAGAATGGGGCTGGGTAAGAATTTAATATAAATTATATATGTTAGCAGCCAATTACTGACAACCTCACATTCAAGTCTCCATATATAGCTTGTAGAAATATGAGTTCAACATGAGATGGTAGAAGGTCGATAACTGGTACATTCACCCAATTAGCGTGATGTTAATCGTGTGACGTACGAACACATTCATTTTCATAATATGTTGCTACAAATCACAATGGCGGACATTTATATTTATACAAATTGAATGTCGAGGATATTGGAAAGCCTACCTTGATTCTATTATGTTTATCAGAAAGCTTATTCAGTATTCTATGATTAACGATGCCAAGCTCAAATGGTTGCGAAATTGCACGTATCTATCCCTGCCTTTCACGTTGGCCAATAATAGAAACAAAACAGTAAACAAAGGTCGATAACTCTATCATGATCAGACCACTATTAATTTCTCCCATTGACTTCAGTGTCAATATTGTCTCTTTTCCGGAGTCCATCTTTTCCCAAAATTTTCGTTGGTCTGAATGCTTTTCACTACAGACAGAAAAACAAATGGTCATGTCTTTGCACCAAATTTTGTACGAATTTGATCACCAGAATTTTGGGATACATAAACTGAAAGTAGCATACTAAAACATGTACATATCACTGTAACCAACCTGTTAAATCTTGTGATCTTTCCGCCTCTAAATCATAAATATTTACCAAAATATGGCAGAAAATGTTAATTAAAACCCCCTTCGTCCATTCCAGACCAAAATAAATCACTGGTTTTGTTCTACATTACTAATTAATTTTAAATGTATTATTATTAACTGTGAAGTTTACATAACTAACAAGATTATTATTGAAATAAGTTCAGTGTTGTATTCAGAGAAATATTTGAGATTCTTCTTCTGCACTCACTGTGTTATGTAAGATACAGGTAGCCAAAGGCGCTTTATATTAAAAGTGACAGCTAAATTAGACAACGCAATTCCAATAATAAAGTGAGTATTTATAAATAACAAGAAGCTCTTGTTTTAATGATGTCCACCGTCACTAACGACATTATCAATCATGGTATCCTTTGTTACTATGATGTAATAAACGTATTCCCCCCTTGTTTGAGTGAACATGTCAGGTATAAGGTTCGTCCTAATACCATTCATCTTACCGTCTTATAATTTATATGTAATAAATATAGCAATATTATGTATGCGTGTGTACATTTTTGGCTATATAAAGCCGAGCAACGATTTCATTTGCAGTTGTATCTTTGTCGAAACTCCAAGCACATCAGCATACCACGGTAAGAGGAACACAATTTTAAAAATATCGGATATTTCCACTTTTGGAATATACATATCATGGTTAGTAAGGTTTCGCAAAATATTTATACTAGTATTCTCCCCGACCGAGTATTCGAATATTCGATCGCAGAACTCATGTATCCGAATACTAGTCTGATATTCGAATAATCGGCAAAAATTAAATTTTATCTATCTTAGCTAGTTTTTAATAGGAATAACTTTTTCAGTAGTAGCAGCACTTCATTAAGGATATCCACCTGCTCTGAAGTTGCATTATTATCAGCAGTTGGTTCAAGGGTTCTGTAAGTTTCCAGCACCTACATCATCGTGTCCGGAAATCGATGGGGCATCAATTTCCCGACGTAGTTAATATAGCCAAGTTATAGCTCACAAGGCGTTTTAATCAGTTTTAATTGGCTCTACTAATCACCGGCAAGAACAAAAAAGAGGGGCATTTTTGTCAATAGCGCCCATAGCTACAAGAGATTGACCAACATTGAATGATGTGTCATAGATATGCATATTCCTGCTCATCATACACAAAATGAAATGATTGTTGATAATTACAATTTGGAAAAACGGCGTAATACGTATATGCAGGAACTATAGCTTACACAGGATAAGGGTTTGATAGATAGATATCATGTAAGTCCTATAGCAAAAATCGGTTTGATTGGCGAAATTTAACAAAATATATGGATTCATCCACGTCTCAACAAACCACCTTTTTTTCACCTATGAGCAAGATACTTACAATGCATGCAGCTAAGATTCTTGAATCAGTCAATTTTAGTTGTTTACGAAATCATTTAAATTTTGGATATGAAGTTTAGAATATGCATATCGTTCCTTGTAGGTCATATTTTTTTTTATGAAATCATATTAGTTTTGGATATTACGTATTTCGGTCGCTTTTTACAACATCTTGGGCGCTATTGACAAAACACGTTCTTGTAAGTTCATGTCGGTGATTGGTTGGACCGGTTGAATCAGCTTGAAACCAGATATTGTATTCATGTTACACTTCCTAAATAATTTTTTTTTATAATGTCTTAAAATGTTTGTGGTAATGGTATTAAAGATACTTGAGAAATAATCCATATTTATTTGAAGTTCTGGTTCCTCGAATTTCCATAGCAGCTATTCGAATACTATTCGGCTGTTTAAATGATGATAATTTTATTATTCGCCTAATATCCGGGTTGTGATTTAGTTCGAATTGCAGAACATAAATTTATACATTGAAATTTGGGATTCTATTCACCCACATTCGACCTTCTATGTAAAAGAAAAGTTGGACATACTACAGGTTAATTATTGTATTTGAGAAGGGTAATTACTCTACTGCTGTGATTGACATTCATTGAGTTCGTACAATTCTTTAAAAAACGAATTAAATAAATCAAAGAAATATATCATAGAATCAGATGACACAACGTTCCTAGTCAGTCTTTGTTTCAGACTTGTTTGTTCAGACTGGGTTAGTTTATCGTATTTCTTATTTCTCAGATGAAGACCTGTAACCTGGCACTATCATGCTGCTTGGCAGTTTTAACTATCACATCACAAGTGACTTCACAAGGTGAGATTTTCCTTTAATTTCTATTATCTTTTATTATTTGGATATATACATATTAAAATCAATTATTTGATAATCTCGACCCACCAGGCAATAAAATATATTACAATTGACCAAGGTCACTTTTAATCTTTAAAAGTAAATGAGACGTAGTATCCGGTGTTCTAGAATGGGGAAACAGGCATTATAATATAATACGGCCCATATAATTAAGTTCCATGTCCCAAGTCAACTATTTCAACTTCATCAATGCCAGTATTGGACAATATCGATATAAGATGTTAGATTAATGTCGCTTGTACTATCTCGTGGACCCCCCCCCCCCACCAACTGCTAAAGAACCCTACGCAAAAGTGAATTATTGAAATAAAATTGAACTATATGTTAGTCCAGAAATGAACAAGTTTGTGTCGAATAGACGTTAAAACACATCATTTTCTCTTTCTCACTAGATTCATAGATACATGTAATATGTACAAATATATCGACTCATTATTATTTTGAATACATAAAGGGTAGATTTATAACTTATAATATTCTGTTTCAAAATAATTATAGTGGCAGAGATCAACAGACAAGGTCCTATCACATATTGACAGATATTTTTAATATTTGTATAATTAACGCTAAATTGGATACCTTTTCACGGGAGTTGATAATGATACTAGGGGGACACCGCATGCTAAAATCTTAATTACTATTTTAAAACTTGTATTTGATGGATTAGATATTCGACACAAGCATTTATTCCGTTGCAATTACAAGGAATCGATGGTTTCTTGTACACAGAGTAAATTGATGTAGACCTGAATTATTAATAATGAACGTCAACCGGGACCTTTAATTGTGGAGTTATCTCCCTTCGTTGTTCAGTCCTAATGTGTAAATTGACTATTATTTCCATTCCAAACTATTGAATATTTATATCAATTATCTTACAGTTATGACTGGTGGTCATGTCCGATCTCGACAGCCGTTGATGCCTGTAGCACCAGTGGTGCCTTTTTATACCGCCGATATGATAGACACGCACCAAGATTATATGGCGGATTTGATGAGCTACCGAATGCAGATGGACATGCTCCGAGGTAGGCATATTATAACTTATTAAAAACGGTGGTAAACCAAGATCAATTTTAAATCAAAAAAAAAATAAATTAATGCGCCTGCATTTCCACATCATCAAACACAATTCATGCATTCTTAGAATTGTTACATGTATATTTGTTGTATTGTGTTATTGTCATTTTTGTAATTGTATGCTGCTCCTCGTGGGCGTTTTTATGCAATAATTTACTTACCTACCTACTTACTTACTTAGAATTAAACAAGCTTGTTTGCACATATCGTGACCTTCAATATCACTTATTCTAATATGAATTTGGTTTTGGTCTTTAAAATGGATTTACGGACCAACCGGGACTTTAACCAACATATTCGCGTATAGTGTTGAAGGGACCAAATCGCTAATATTTGGGACGTAGAAATTGACCCAGGTGGGTCGCAACGCATATAATACATTGCAATCTTTAGCGTCTGGTTATTCCAGTCTACACCGATAGTATTTATTGCGCATGCTATCCATTTGTCTGCGATATCACCTCGGTGAAAGCTGACGTAAAATACAACTAACTAACAACAACACATTTAAGAATGTGGTCACCGTTTGAGATGAGGTGTGGAATATGTTCATAGAGTCCCTTTTTACAAACGGCGCTGAAACGCATTATTGTACACGATTCGTGTACCAATGGTTAAAAGTTTATTTTGTCTTAAATATTGGATATCAGAGGCCCATCTTTTCCCGGTAAGATCACAACACCAATGTTGATTTAAATTGACAAATAATTCGTGTTTTCAATGTCGAGGACTTTGGATGAAATTGAGTTAGAAACGTAGCTACCTTAATGATAGACCCAACTTTCCCCTTTAGAAGCTTTTGAAGACACGGTGTGTTTATTTATCAATTAACACTATCCTTACCATTTCCATTTCCAGGACTCTCTTCAAACGGCTACCCCGCAAGTCCCCCAATGATTAATTCCCCTTATTACCAACCGCCTAACAGACCAGTCAACCAAGGACAGGCACCGCAAGTGACCATCATTGAAAGACCAAGATCAAACACATTTCGTAACCAACCAGTAAATAACCAACGATTCAGGAGTTCTAAGGCAGGGACCCGACAACGGTCCAATCCAGGAAACATAGTCTTATTGTCCCGTAAGTATAATTTTGTCGCGGGGGGGGGGGTTAGTGTGGCCTAGTGACCACTAGCTGGCGGGCCACCTCTTGGATGCCGTTTCCTTGCCTGGTGTGAGCGTATGTGGCTTGGAGATAAGAGTGCCTTCTGAACCACGTGGGTTTACTTCGGATACTCTGGTTTCTTCCCACAGAGTGCGCCAAGATAATAAAAATAAGAATTGTCTGCGATCTGCGATATCAACTAGGTGGAAGCGGACATTAAACACCACCACCAACAACTAGAGATTTCACAGTAACTGATATAAACGACACATGCATCAACTTTTTATGGAGTATAATGTGATTGCCACCCATGGATGTTCGTCCATAATTATTGTAAAACTACACCCTCTCATACTTCACTTTCCAAAGTCCCTTTTGTCTATGTATTTATTTAACAATGTTTAATGTTTTCCTTGTAGGTAAGAAGAGATTCCTCCGTATGCCTTTCGGGCCTACTATGCCCTTTGCACCAGTAGGAGGTAATTAATTTGTTCTAAAGACAAGATTAATATATAATGTATGTCCTACGGGTGAGCAATCGGACACACCATGTCCTTTGCACCATTAGGATATAATACACTTATTTTAAAGATTGATATATTTTTTTATGTGGTAATAAGATTGATCATTTGGATCTGCCGTGGCATTTGTACCATTAGGACGTAATGCAATTGTTTTAAGATATGATTAATATATTTAGTGTGTTTTAATAAAGTTGATCCATACCCCTCGGGCCACTAACAGGTGATGAACTTGCTTTGGAAGTTGGATTTGTTTATTTGTTTACGTTTTAATAAGTCATGCTTTTGTGCAGAGACGGAGTGATTAATTTGTTAAGTTAGTGTGACTATATTTTTATATTCTAATAAGTATGGTTATTGACTTTTGACTAATTAATGAGTGGTAATTAATTTGTTGATTTCTAAGACAACCCAATCATGCCTTTCGGTCTACTGGGGGAGGGGGGCAATGAATTTATTTTGAAGTTAGAATTAATACACGTTTATGCGTAACAAAGTTAAACATGTCCATCATGTTTTAGCACATTTAAACCAAAGGTATAGCAGTAATGAGGCGAATTTCTAAACTTTCGAAAATTAGCAAAACTTATTCTACACCCTGCTTCTTTCTCGTTTTAGGGATTAACCCTTACATGAATCCTTTGGTTGGTGGAGCTATTGCTGCTGGTCAGATGGTTGCTCGTCGTAATATGTTAGGTAGATTTGGCCGACGACCAAGAGCTAATACTAATAGAATTAATTCCCGGGCTATGACACTGGACCAACCTCAACCCGATCAATTCCAACAGGTGGACAGTTTAAACAATTTTAACAATGTAAACAGTTTGAACAATGTAAACAGTTTGAACAATGTCAACAGTTTGAACAATGTAAATAGTTTGAACAATGTGAACGATTTTAACAATTCAAACGGGTTAAATACTTTGAACGGTATCAATACTTTAAATAATAATGTTAACGGGGTTACAGCCTTGGACACAGTGAACAACCTCAGTAGTATGGCCAATGTAAACAGTTTAAATGGTGTCAATAGTGTTAATAATTTTCCTGGTCAAGAACAAATTCCACCCCCTTATTAATACAAGTTTATTTATAAAGGAAATTTATTTTTATAATTTGACATGTTATTCAACTTTTTTGAATAAAGTTGATAGCAATGATGTATGAATATGTTTGTTTCATAATTCAGTAATGATTCGAATATGTAACTTGACTTGTACCTAAATTTTAGATTCAACAGATTTAAATTAATAACTATGTCAAAAAAAATATTGCACATTATGAACCGAATGCTATCAACTAGTTTCAATGGTTTAAAATGTACGGAAGTTTAACAAACCTTTCGATTGCCCAGCATGATTTTAATATTACACTGCAAGTGGTACTAAATATGGTAAACTAAATTTGTTGTAGCTTCTGTGATATACATTTTGTAATTGAATATATTGACACAAGGTACAATTTTGTGGATTCACAATTAACTGAAGTTATTGCTGTGTAATCTTTATAAATCGAAATGTGGCACTTCCCATTAACAAATTTAGCTTATTAATTAAGGTCCGATTAACAACTAATAGACTAGCCACATCTAATGGTAAAGAATAGAGTATTCTCGTCGAAACTTAGCATGATAATAAAGTGTAAATATTTTATTGTTGATGTCCAAGTTATGTTTGTCGACAAATTACTTAAATGTATTTTTTAAATTTATGTTTATTAGTATATAGATTATGAATATTGTAGGAATAAAGGTATAAGTTATTTTTGTGTCTTGTCATTGGGTAATTATTTCACAACTGTTTTACCATATAGCTAGATTTAATACAGATGTTAATGTCCACCAAAGTTAGGTATGTGATAGACTGGCTAAACACATTTCACAATACAATTGCTACGGTTGATACATAACAAACAATTAAACAATCTGAAAGTGACACAAAAACAAGAAAATGAGTTATTCTTACTGGCTAATTAGAGAGCGATAATAGCTACACAGCTGATTTTCATCATAGACTGTAGCAAATATATCTGTGTTATATTTGGAATGTGTTTAACCAGCTCTACTACATTATGTAATATTGGTGAACACCAACACTGTCCTTTAACGCCCTACTTTCTGCACCAACTGAGCTAAGGAAAACTGGTATACACCTCGCAATGTGCCATCAGGCGGATTTTGCCCCGGCAGCGGTGCTACGGCCTACTCTTATTTCGAATTCCAGCTGTCATGGGTTCTTTTACGTGCTCTCACCTTGTTTGTTTGTTCCATCCGAACGACATGGTTCTTTGTCAAATTTTCCGCCCTGCAGAGTGGAGATCACGCCCCAAATCACCGAGGAACTTTCTCGGTCACACCAGGATTAAACCCGGGACCCCCAGGTTAGCGAGCCACCCCAACCCTTTACAACTTTCGCATGTAGATGAATATAGCCCAAAATGTGCAATTGTGTTTACATGATGGAACAACGGGCCAGATTACATGAGAAATGAACCCATCATCACCAACGACAGTTTTTAAAGCTGGACTTGTTATCAACCCCATTGGGATATTAGGTCTTCCACCAGTTCTTTGGCCGGCTGAGGGCGACAACAAATAAGATCGCCAATCCAACTTTTTGGATTTTCTCTGGTCTCAAGTTTCCAGAATTACTGGATGGCACGGAGTGGGCATTAAATTAGAAGGGGTGTGGGGGTATTGGCGGGGGGAGGTAATTTTCCTTCATTAGGCCTAATATGCTGATTATTTAACTCTAAAAGTTTTGTGAATCGAAGACTCTAACCCCCCCCCCCCCCAAGGTGCATGTCCCTGGAAAATTCATATCCCTATTTTTGCCGGCTTTTGGCGTAATTTCCTCCACATATACATCAAGAGTGCCTTGTTTGGTGTCAAAAGGGTATATCTAAGAATTTCTAAAGATTAAGAAATAGAACCTCTTGCATTTCAAAATTTCCACAAATCAAGATACAACATTTGGACACATGATACCCAGAACAGTTCTAATTGACGTAGAGATACACAGCTTAGACAGAAATGTGCATATTAATTGGGAGATTTTAAAATTGCAAAAAGGTGTATTTGATTAATTTCCTGAGATACACCCTTTTGACACTTCACCGACGATATGGACTTTTTTTTCGAAAATCCAATATAGTGGAAATTCAGAGTGGCGACCAGTATGGCCCCATAGCGTGGTCGCCGCTATAATTGGTACACCCATTGAGGCTTTGTGCAAACGAATAATTTTCATCACATATAATCATAATTTGTATTAAAATAAATGCATTTATCACAAACAATGAAGTATGAACCATTAAACTAGTCACCGAACAGTCTCTCTTTGTGATAATGCACTTTTCATCTTCGACGTTTTATGCATACAAGTCATAACGTTACACACTCAAAATCTCGAATTATTATGCAAGGTTTCACTTTTATTTCGCAATCAACCAATCATTAATCCATGCTGTAAGTACATAATCATTGAAAAGTCTGATTAAATCAAATACAAGATTATGTACAAAATGACGACCATGTCTGTGTCCACCATCTTGGATGGTCGAAAGTTGTAGGTTTCGGATTCATACTATGCAGCATCGAAAAAGACATTATTACAAGCCATATACGATATAAGCATAGAGTATGTGTCCACTCTCTTGAATTTCCGCCACGTGACAAGGAGTAGGGTCGCCTGTCCGACCTCGTGGGTTTTCTCCGGGTCCTCCGGTTTCCTCTCACTGATAAAGACCCCTACGCGCAAGCGAATGATTGAAAAAAAATTGAACCATGTGTGAGCCCCGAAATGAACTAGTCTGTGTCGATTGGACGTTAAACCCTATTTCTCTCTCTCAATTTCCGCCATATTGGATGGCCAAAAATAGACTTTTAGTTCAGATTCAGACTATACAGCATCAAAACCCCATAACAAGACATTAATTTTACAAATCATATATACGATATAAGCATAGAGTTAAAACAAAATGGGGTCATATTGGTCGTCATTTTGCATTTCCGCCATACTGGATTGTCGAAAAAACTTTTGAATCCATCATCACACTAAGCATCATTTAAATCCTATAAGAATACACCACGCAAAGCACCTTTGACGTATTTATGGGGAGTTTACACCAAAAGCAATATTCGACAGACAAAAAATATGCGAAGGAACTTTCAGGGCGCGCCGGGGCATGTACAGGTGGTTAGAGGAGTCGGGTACCCCAAAAATATATTTCAGACGTATAAAAAATTATAATAGGTACAATTAACAATATGCATGGACAAACATATAATACATTTTATATTTTTTTTATAGATTTTTATATATAGCTATTTAGCCAAAATGTTTATATACAAATCAAACAGATATACAACTGTACATTATCTATATGATATATGATATACAATATTTTTTCATAGAAAATAATTTATTATAATATCGGAATTTTGAAACACTATATACATAGTACATGTTATTGTTATATCAATAGTAATATTTGATCATTGAGGAAGAAACATGTTCGACGAGTGGAATCAGTTGTCTTATCGCGATTGTACTTAAATATTATAATGTGGCAGTAACAACGACTTCCGCAAAAAGCTTATATAAATAACAATTTAAACACATAAATCTAACATACATTTGTTAAACAAGTAAATACAGTAATATACAATCTGGAAGTATAAAGTACACCAAATTCAAACGTTTTTACATATGTAGAATAATTTTTAAAAAAAAAAGGCTGTGAAAATCTAGTATTGCGAAGTAATATCATGGTAAAATTGAAATATTAAGTCATCCGAAACCATAAGTTTGTCTTTATTTTCACACACAGTATAAAAGTAATAGAAAAGAAATAGTATAGTTTGATTATTATAAGATGTCAAATTAAAATATGGTTTAGGTAATTGGAAGGTTTTGTTATCGGAGATGTTTTGTATATGTGTTGTAGTGAACTTACGATAATAATATAAATGCGGACAGTTTTCAAACAAGTGAGTAAGTGTCTCTTCTTTAATTTTAATTTT